GCTTAAGGTCTTTGTTCGAGGCTTTTCCTGCCTTACTTCTCCCCTTTTACCGCTACATGCAGGAAGCCCCAACTCACCCAATAGGCTGCCAGGTCGGCAATCGTCCTGTCCCATCTGTTCCTCTGCCCTGTTGCTCTTGCCACCTGGGATGCCAGTTCCCTGGCACCCATCTCTGTTTTAATAATTTTTTTTTTTGAGAGTTTTTTGCTATAGGGCGCGTGCGCTCGCCAGACAGAGACAGAGAGACAGAAAACAGGAAATCATCACCAAGGGGGGTGGCCATGCCGCAATCCCTTCTCCTCCATTCTCCTCTCGGGATCCTGGGCACGCATGCACACGCGCCTGGTGTAAGTTTAAGCCACTGGGTCCGGGACTTGAACCGCGGTCGACTACATGGGAGTCCAGCGCCGTAGCCATTACGCTAACTGCTGGTCCCTCTGTTTTAATTTTTTGAGGCTCTGTTCTCTTCCATCCAGCATCCTCCTCAGATTCCCACTGAAATGGAATGCATTTTACCTTCTGGACCTGGCCTCCTCTGCCTTGCCATTCTTTCTCACTCTCTCTCTCTCTCTCCTTTCTCTTCCTCCCTGCCTCCCTCCTTCCTTTCTTTCTTTCCTCCTCTTTCATTTTTTTGCTATAGGGTGTGTGCATTTGCCAGACAGAGAAAGTGAGAAATCACGGGGGTGGGTGATGGCCACCTCACAATCTCTTCTCCATTCCCCTTCCACACACACATTTTCAAGCCACCAGCCATTCTTGCCAATGTGGTGTCCAACCCCCCCCCTTCTCACCCTCCCTCACCCTGTCTGCAACTTGTCAGGCCAAAAGCATGGGTCTGACTCTTTTTGCTTTGCTTTTAACATTTTTTTAAATTTATTTTTACCGTATTTATTTTACGTTCGTTCACTGAGCATCATCATAGCGTACAAAGTGCAATTTCCTATCCAGAAAGCACTGTATAGTGGCTTAATTATACATGTTATCGTCAACACATAATTTTCCATTTTGGGGTTTGACCAGCTGTATGGCCCTGGACAAGTGATTTCCCCCTCTGGACTTCAGTCTTTTGGTCTGTAAAACGGGGATGCCGTTAGTACTTACCTCATAGGGTGGCTGTAAAGATTAAATGTAGTTGTGTGTGCTAAGGAGAGAGGATTGCTAACCTCAAATCTGAACCTCAGATCTGAGCTCAGTTTCCCATCTGTAAACTGAGCAAATTATCAGCCTCTTGGAAGGTGGGGGTTGCCCGGTGGTAGTTTGGCAAGGCCAGGCCACTAGGGCCTGTGCGGCGGGAAAGCCAGGACACCTGGGACCCTGGCCACCTTCTCTCTTAAGCAGCAGCAGCAGTTTGGGGGCTAGTAGGTAGCGTGGGGGTTAGGGGCTGGAATCCCACATGGCCAACCACAGTTTAAATCCCAGACCTGGTGGCTTGCTTTCTCACTTTCTCTGTTTCTCTCTTCCTCTCTGGTGAGAGCACATGCCCAGTAGCAAATTAAAATAATAATAATAATTCTAAAAAAAAGAGAGAGAAGGAAAGTTTAGTTTGTTGTTTTTTTTTTTGTTGTTTTTTTAGAAAAAGGAAGCAACAACAACATGTGTAGAGGGCAAATGGAGCAGGCGTGAAGCCCAGAGAACGTTTGTCTCCTAGTCTCTCCTGGCGCAGCCTAGCAGGATGCAGGTGGTAGGCAGCTGCAGGCTGTGAGCAGGTGGCCACTGGGAAGGCCAAGGCCAGGTGGCCTGAGCCATGCTGTGTGAACACCTGGGCCAGGCCCTCTTATCTGCGCCATGGACAATTTGGCCTTGAGAACTCAGGCCCTCGGAAGCCAGTGCTCTTGAACACCTAAACTGCCCTCCAACAGGGCAGCATCGGACTCGACTCACACACCTGCTTGAGAGGGAGCTCATTACTGCCATAATTAGAAAGTAAACACCGTGGGCCAGCAGGTGGTGTCGTGGTTAAGGGTGTTGGACTCCCACTTGGCCAACTGCAGTTCAAGTCTCAGACCTGGTGGCTTGCTTTCTCACTTTCCATCTCTCTTTCTGTCCCTATCTGGTCAAATTAAAAATTACTAAAATATAAAGTTAAGTAAAACAATTTTTTACAAATAAATAAATACACACAGTGTTCTGTGAAGTTGACCCACATGGGACGGTTCTGGGCTTGTGTCAGCAGACCTCCCTGAGTGTTGGGCACATACCTGCCCGTGATCTTGGGCTAGCTGAAGCTGCAGCATCGGGACCCTGCTGGGCCCGTCTCCGTCTCTCGCTCATGGAACAAATAAGTAAATAAACTAGGAAGAAGGAGGGAGAGAGGGAGCAGGATTGGTTTCAGAAATAGCTCCACTCGTCCAGGCAAAAATAGGGATCACCTCTGTTCTTAATTGACACAGTGCCCCCCACCTCAGACCCCACCTCAGAAGCTTCCCTATGTTCCACCCTGTCTGTCTGTCTTGAGCCAGGGTCCTCCCCTTCTGAGCCTCTGTGAGGGACAGCACTGACTCCAGAGCCAGGCTGCCTGCATTTGAATCTTCTCTAAACTACAGACTGCCTGTACAGCCTTGGGCAAGTCGCTTCACCTCTCTGGGCCTCAGGTTTCCTGTATGCACAATGCTGATAATAATAGTTCTCATCTCATTGGGGAGTTTGATGGCTAAATGATGCCTGGCACACAGTAAAACTTGATGAAAATGAGCTTTTGTGTATTTTAAAACAACTTTTTTTCATTCTCAGAGGACCCTTGCACTCATGGGGGGTGTGGAGAGGGCGTGGTCACTGCAACCCCTTTGTCATTGCCCCATCCTGTTGGGAGTTGGGGTACATGCATATGCTCGTGCAGGTATTTTGTTTGTTTCCGCTTGAGGGTGCATGGCCTTGCCTGAGAGGGAAAGGAGAAAGCATCCCCCGTGGGACATGTGACACTGAAGTCCCTTCTCCATTTCTCCCTCCTTTGGGAATTTTGGGCACACATGCACATGAGCTCATCATGTTTCTCGAGCTGCCTGGTCTGGGACTTGAACTGCGTGGTGGACCGTTGTGGGGTCCAGCTGCCTTAACCAGGGAGCCAGCCCACCTAGAGTGGTTTTCAAGCTGCCGGAGCTGGGATTGAGGCAGTGGTTAGCCATGAGGGATCCGGCTCCCTTAACCACTAGCTACGGGCCTGGCCCAGCTTTAATATATTTTATCTGTTCTGTGAGCAAGAGACAGAGCAAGAAAGAGAGCACTCCCAGTAGGGTCCCAATGCCATGGCTCACCCCCTGCTTTAGCCAGCCTGGAATCGTGGGCACACATGTGCCTAGCATACTTGGGGAGATCTTGGGGTGTGAACCCAGAACCTTTCCGTGTACGGCAGCCTCACAGAACATCAGGTTTTCCACTGTACCACCATTTGGGCCCAAAATTAGCTATTTATTTATTTTTGTAGAGGTGTTTTCCTTAGGGCACATGCACTTGCTGGAGAGGGGGCAGAGACAGTGAGAGGGGAAGTGAGAAACCACCTCCCCAGGGCGGATGGCCACACCTGAATCCCTTCTCCTTCCTTTTCCTCCTAGGATCTTGGGCACGCACACATACCCAGTGTGATGTTGTTCAAGCCACTGAGTCCAGAACTAGAACCATGGCTGGCTATGTGAAAAGTCCAGTGACATAACTGCTATGCCATCTACTGGCCCCAAAATTAGCTTTTAAAAACATGTGTGGGAATCTGTCACTGTAGCCTAGTGGTTAAGGGAGCCAGATCCTACATGGCTGACTGCATGGTTTGATTCCCAGTCCCGTGGGTTTGAGAAACATACCAAGTGTGTGTGCCTGCGTTCCTAAAATCGTACAGGATGGAGAAGTGAGAAGAGGGTGAGATGTGATCACTCCGCATTAAGGGATGCTGTCTCCCTCTTCCTATTTCTCTTTATCTCTCTCTGGTAAATGCATGTGCCCTCTGACAATTAAAAAAGAAAACCTCAAAATAAAGAATATCTTAAAATAATATTAAAAATAATAAACACTGGGGCCAGCAGGTGGCATAGTGGTTAAGGTACTGGACTCCCACATGGCTGTTTGAATCCTGAACTGAGCGGCTTGACAATTGTGCAGGGCGCTTGCGCATGCATGCCCAAAATCTCAAGAGGAGGATGGAGGAGAAGGGATTACGGCATGGCCATCGCCCCACCCCCAGAGGTGATTTCTCTCTCTCTCTCTCTTTCTCTTTGTCCCTCCTCAACAAGTGCATGAGCCCTATGACAAAAATCTAAAAAATACATAAATAAAGGAATATTATTTAAAATGATAAATAGTAATTTAAAAATGCATGTGCCCCCAAACATCCATTACATTCTATGCTGGACATAATGATGACCACTTAGAAAGTGCTTGCCCTAATGTCTCTGTCAGTGTTGCTCATTTGCAAAGGAAGCAGAGAATCAGAGAGTGCCAGCAACTTGCCCAGGGTCACACAGCTAATCAGCAAGCATAGGTGGCATGTGAATTCAGGACTCTCTGGCTTCAGTTTGGGCCAACGATAAGACCAAGATTCTCTTAGGTGGCGGTTACTCACTCCCTGTAGGGGTATGTGGATCCTGGAATCTGACTAGGCCCTGCCCCTGCCCCACATGGGGGCTGCAATGAGTTATTCTTTATTATTTTGGGGTGCCCCAAATCAGGGTGCCTTTTGCCATACCTGCATAGGCCTCCAGGCCTTCCCACATCACCACCCAGACCCTGCACCTCTATCATCCTTGCCCCACCTTGGGATCCCTGGGGTCCCGTCTACTCTGCTCTGGATTCTTCCCCTATCTGGAGTTCCTGCCTCTCCAGTCTTAACCTGGGTAGGAGGTGCAGTGGACACCCCGCTCCCTGTGTGTCAGGAACAGGGGATGTGGCGCTCCTGCTACCCTGATTTTTCCTACTCTGCTCATGGGGATTCAGGGAAGCGTGACCTGGCTGATGCCACCACAGAACAGCTAAGATGCGAAGCTGCTGCCCTGGGCCTCTGGGGCCCTGAAACCCCAAGTTCCTGATGTCTGCGTATCCAGTGCTGCATAACAGGCCGCCCTGGACTCGGACCTCGGTCACTTAGCTCACGGACTCCCGTGTGGCCAGGCCGCGGCGGGGAGGCTCCTTTCTGCTCTGTGCAGCCTCAGCTGGGCCAGCTTGGCCTGGAAGACCATGCCCAGGCGGCCTCTCAGCAGCCACCCACTTGTGTTCTGAAACCAAAAGGCTTCTCTCATCTTCGTCTTTGCCCTTTGATCCCTCCCTGAGCCTCATAGTTTAGCTTACCTAGGGAAAGGGGTCTGGGAGAAAGTGACTGACTTAAAAACCCTCCACATTTCATCCCTGCTGTACTTTCATTGCAAAGGTTTGCATCTGGCACTTGGTCCTCAGGGTAGTGGGGCTGGGAGGGGTGAGGCCCTGGAGGGGTGAGGCCTGGTGGGCAGTGTTTGCATCACAGGGCACCGCCCCCTTGAATGTATCCTCTGAGAAGGAGTGGCCTGAGTGAGCAAGACCCGCCTTCATCGTGGGTGGCTCCATCTGATTGGCCAGCAGCGTGGGAGGGATACAGCAAGTGGGGGATTCTCTCCCTGCCACCTGTCCATCTTCCCCTCTGCCTGAGTGATGTAGCACCAGGAGCTGGCCCCACACCTTTGGACTTCCTGGGCACCAGAATCATGAGTCAACTAAATCTCTATTCTTCATGAACAGTCCAGTCTCGGCTGTTTCCATCAGCAGACAGTAACCGACTGAGACTCCCACACCCTTGTAAGAACCGAGAACGAGGCCAGCCCCAGAGTGTGTGGTTAAGGCGTGCGCACTAGGAACCAGATCCCATATTGGTTCAAATCCTGTCCCTGGTGGATTGAAAAATGTGCTGGGTACATGTGCACCCCAAATCTGACTCGATAGAGAAAGGGAGAAGGGATTGTGGCATGGTCATGCCCCATTGGGGTGCTTTCTCCCCTGCTCCCGTCGTCCTAGCACCTGTGGGAGTGCACGTGCCCTTGGCAATGAAAGGGCAGGGGAGGTTCGAGGTAACCTCATGCTGGCTGAAGCCCCTTGTATCCTGTTGTGACAGAACCCAGGGACCAGCCAGCCATCTGCCTGGAGGCCCAGCCCCTGCCTGGTGGTGACTTAAATGAGGGCTCCTTCTATCCCTTCGGGGTCTGCCCAAGGCAGTGTGAGAGTGTGATAGCATGTGGCATTTGTACCAAGGAAACCTCCTTGAGGTTTCCTGGGATGGCCCCTGGCTCTACCAGTTCGACCTCTTACATTCCCCCACATTATTGGCTCTCCCACCCCATCCCCACCACCAGCATCCATGCCAGTGTCCCAGCAGAAGCTCCCCCGCCCTCCTGCCCGCTGCTGCACTCTGCTCGTGCTCAGTGGTCCTTGCAAAGCACTGTCCTAGCAGGTTGCTCACCCCACTCCTCTGAAAACCCATCCAGGGCTTGTGGCTCTCGGAATGACGTCCTAAGTCCTTGGTATAGCCTGAAGAGCCCTAGCCAGCCCATGCTGGCCAGCCTCCTCAGTCGCAGGTCCAGCCCCCTCCCTGCTCATGGGTGGGGACAGGGGTCCTGCAGGTGCTGCCCGCTCCCCTCCTCTCCTGGCTCACTCCCTCTCATGGGGCTTGTCCTGGCTCCTTGTCGTCTGACTCTGAGCAAGTCCCTGGGCCTGTGCACAGCGGGTGCCTAGTGGGCACTGTACAGCGGATGTGAGCTCATGGCCCCCACAGTGCTGCCCCCCCTACTTACCCAGCCCCCCCCGGAGCTGGTCCTCCCCCTAGTTCCCTACAGCACCAGCACCTTCCATCAACATGCAGTCATTTATTTCTCACTCACATGATGAGTGTTTTCTAAGTGCCTACTCTGTGTCAGGCACTGTCCTAGGCCCTGGGTGAGACAGCGGGGAACATGCACTGTTTCCTCTCTGGAATGTTCATCCCTCAGCATTTCACCTATTTGTAGCAAACTTCTATTCAGTCTTCAAAACCCGATCCTAATGTCCCATTCTCTGGGAAGCCTTTCCCTCTGCTACATTACTTTTGAACTTGTGTGGCTCATCTAGTGATGGAGGCTACCCAGGGAGTGCAGAGTCAGGGGACAGGAGCCCGGCGGGAGAGACGGGCAGATTTCTCTGCTGGGAGCTGTGCCTGTAGGCAGGTAGGCAGGGCTGTAACCGTACCTTCACTGCCTGCCTCCTCCCTGAGGCTTGTTCCCAGGGGCTCCTGCCAGGCCACCTTTCCAGTGCACAGGAACCACCTCGGTGCAGACCCGGGCTGAGAGGGGCTGGGGCATCCAAGGACGCGGGTGCTGCCACGTGTAGCCGGAGCACACCCTCCCACAGACCCCGAGGGAACACAAGGTAGGCCCCATCCCCCGGGCCTCTGGGCTTCCCTGCCCTGGTGGGAGTCGGCAGCATCTGCAGTGGCACCGGAGCAGGCGTGGGCCAGCCTTTGAAAGTCCCTCCTGCCATCTGACCCAAGCCTGCATGCCACAGTTCCATCCCGGCTCTGCTCCCGTCCTCTCTGGTTGTGGGGGACTCGGATTGCCCCTCCTGCCTCCTCTTGGTCTCCCCCTCTCTGGCCCAGAGAGGTCCCATGACTCCCCGGAGGCCACACAGCAAGTCAGGCAGCAGAAGGCAGCCAGAGCGTTGGGGCTGGCTCAGAGCAGGGTGATCTCGCTGGGGGGCAGCGTGAGCCGCTTCTCGCGGGCACTGAGCAGGTTCTCCACGTGCACGGCCACCACGCGACACAGCTCCAGACCCTGCAGGGGACACAGTGAGGGTCACGCCCGCCCAGCACTTGCCTGCTCTCACCTGGCAGGGAATACAGATGGAGACGGGGCGAGAGAGGCGGAGGTGTCATCCAGTCATCGAGGCAGGGGCAGGGGCAGGGGCAGGGGCAGGGGCCCTCCTCCCCAGGGCCCCAGGAGGAGCTGGGAGACAGAAAGGCGGCTGTAGGCCAGAGGAGGAGGCAGGACACCACACGCCCCCCCCGCCCCCAGGGCTGGTTACCCCTCTGAGCCTCAGTGGCCTCATCTGCAGGGTCTAATTCACCGGGTCTGCCTCACCGAGCTGGAGAGAGTCGGTGAGGTGTCACCACGTGCAAACCCTTAGACTGGGAAGTACTAAGCCAGGGGTAAAATGTGAGGCTCTGCCAGGCTGAGCCATACGGGAAGGTTCCCGGTTCAAGCCAGGAGAAGGGGTTACAGAGTGGCCACCTCCCTGAGGGCTACTTTCTCACTTTCTCTCTTCCAATCTCCAGCAACTGCACTGCCTTATAGCCAAACTAAAATGAATTGGTTTTTTTTTTTTTTTGGAGAGGTCTTCGCTATAGGGCGTGTGCGCTCACCAGACAGACAGAGAGAGACATAGAGACAGAAAGCGAGAAATCACCCCCCAGGGGGGATGGCCACGCCGCAATCCCTTCTCCTCCATTCTCCTCTCGGGATCTTGGGCACGCACGCACACGTGCCTGGTGTGAGTTTTAAGCCACCAAGTCCGGGACGCAAACCGCGGTCGACTACGTGGGAGTCCAGCGACATAGCCATTACGCTAACTGCTGGTTCCCACTAAAATGAAATTTTAAAAAATGTGTTTAGAGAGATTGTTGCTTTAGGGCACGTGTGCTCACTAGAGAGACAGAGAGAGTGAGGAAGCGAGAAATCACCCCATAGGAGGATGGCCATGCTGCAATCCCTTCTCCTCTGTTCTCCTCTCAGGATTTTAGGTAAGCAAGCACACACGTCTGGCGTGAGTTTCAAGCCACAGGTCCAGGACCTGACCTGCAGTCGGCCATGCTGGAGTCCAATGATGTAACCATTATGCCACTTGCTGGTCCCTTAATAAATAGATTTTTAAGGGCCAGCAGTTAGCGTAATGGCTATGTCGCTGGACTCCCATGTAGTCGACCATGGTTCAAGTCCCGGACCCGGTGACTTAAACTCATGCCAGACGCATGTGTGTGCGTGCCCAAGATCCCGAGAGGAGAATGGAGGAGAAGGGATTGTGACGTGGCCATCCCCCCTGGGGGGTGATTTCTCGCTTTCTGTCTCTCTGTCTGGTGAGTGCACGCACCCTCTAGCAAAAACCTCTCCAAAAAAAAAGAAAGAAAGAAAGAAAAAAAATAGATTTTTAAAAAATAAAATTATTGGAACCAGCAGGTGGCGTGATGGCCCTGCCCATGGTCCCACTGCCAAGCCGCATCCCGGAAAACCACCTTGATGCCCTGCAGTCCTGGGTGGTGGTGGTTAGTCCTGTCCCCCGCACTAAGCTGCTGCTCCTCGTGGCACAGCCCGGCCCTGAGCACTCTCGGAGCCCAGCTGGGGAAGAGCCCGGGAAGCAGCGCGGGGCCTGAGGAGCTGGGCCTGGCGGGTGCAGGTGGCGTGTAGACCCACCTGCTCCAGCTGCAGCTGCATGGTGCGCTGCGCAGCCACGTCCCCCAGCGCGATCTCCACGTAGGGGCAGCTGGAGTTGGCCGTGGGCCGCTGGGTCCGCGTGGACTGGATCTCCTTCAGGGGGAACTTCGCCATCAGCTCCTGGGAGTGGGGGGAGAGAGGCCGACGGGCTTGTGGGTGGAGCTGGTCTCAAGCACCCTCCTCCTGCCCCTGGAGTGCCAGTCCTGGTCCCCAGGGGCTGGTGTGATGCTGGGAAACCACTTTACTTCGGTGGACCCCCGTCTCCTCTGTGAAACGGGCTCGACCGACACAAGGGGTCTTCAAAAAGTTCACGGAAGACCAGCATGCACAGATTTCAAAATGTTTTGCCTCAAAATAAATTCATGCCGGGACCAGCAGATGGCGTCATGTTTATGTCGCTGGACTCGCACATAGTCAGCCATGGTTCAAGTCCCGGACCCAGAGGCATGTGTGCGTGCGTGCCCCAAATCCCGAGAGTGGAGGATGGAGGAGAGGGGCTCTAGCGTGGTCGTCCCCCTGGGGGTGATTTCTCGCTGTCCGTCTCTTTGTCTCTCTGGTGAGCCCATGTGCCCTACAGCAAAAATCTCTCAACATAGGGGCCAGCAGGCGGTGTGGTGGTTAAAGGCACTGGACTCCCACATGGCTAACCATGGTTCAAGTCCCTTTCTATCTCTCTGTCTGGTCAAAAAATAATAACAACAAATAGAATTAAATAAATCTCTTTTAAAAAATCTCTCAAAATAAACAAACAAGTAAGTAAATAAACTCATGCTTAAAGCTCATTTTCCACGCAGGTTTTGAAGTCCCAGTCCTGATGACACATTCCCCGTGCGGCAGGCCTGGGGTGAACGCTCAGCAGGTCGTGGATGTTCATGGAACCCTGACCCTCACATGGAGCTGCTTCTGTGGGCGTCGCCCCGCTTGCCTGGGGGCTCTGTCTGAGCCCAAGGAGTGAACGGGGACCCGTGTGCAGGAGAGCGGGAGTGACGGAGCTAACACCTCAGAGAAGCCCTCAACTGGTGCCAGATGGGGACTGGTGGCTAGACACCCCGGCTCCCGGGCCTGGGAGAGCTGGAGTTCCTGGTGCTGGCTGCCCGGGCTGCCTCCTGGCTGGACCTGCCTCGCCCCACATAGGCGGCTCACTTGGTAACACTGGTCTGTAGGCTCAGCATGTCCTAGCCTCACGTCCCACTCCAGTGTTTCCTGGATTCGCCTCCAAATAAGCCACATGCCCTGGAATCCTCATGTCAGGGTCTGCTCTGGGGATAAACTAAGGAAGGGGCCAGAGCTTCCCGGTCACGGCTGAACTGTGTCCCTCCCCACTCACGTGTGGAAGTCGGGCTCCCAGGGCGTGGCTGAGAGAGGGCACTTACAGAGGTGCCCAAGGTAACAGGGGGCTGTTGGGGTGGCCTAACACAATCTGAGTGGGGGCCTTAGAAGAGGAGGGGGGAGCATGGGGATGGGGTGGACGCAGCTCTGCGAGGCCGGTCCACAGACCTCCCCGAGCACTCTGGGCACAGTGCCCACGAGCCTGGGCTTGCTGACCCAGGGCATGGATCCCAGCAGTGGGTCCTATTTCTCCATCTCTTTCTCTCATAGAAGAAATAAATAAATACCAAAAGAGCTACAAAATAAAAAAGGAGGAAATCAAGACACTCCAAGAGACCCCAGGGGTGGGCACGCAGAGGACAGACCACGTGAAGACAGAGAAGGTGGCTGTTGCTGCAGGTCAAGAGGAGTCCTCACCTAAGCCAACTCTGACGGCACCTAACCTTGAACCTTCAGCCTCCAGAACTATGAGAAATAAGCTTCTGTTTCAGCTGCCCAGCCCGTGGCATTTGTTACGCAGCCCAAGCAGACTGATACACTATTTCCGTGCTCAGTGTGTGTTTTGCCCTGTGGGCTGGGGGTTACTGCTGTCATTATCCGGATGAGGAAGCGAGGCTCAGAGACGGCAAGAGAATTGCTGCGATCAGGCAGGTGGTAGTGGTGGAGGTGGGCTTCCGTGGCTGGAGGTCTCAGCCCTCTGGAGAGTGGGGGTCAGAGGGCAGTGGCTGGTGGTGCCAGGCTAAGGTCACTCACGTGAGTCTCGGTGCTGAGGAAGTTGAGGCCGTTCTGGTTAACGGCAAGGATGCAGGGGGCCGGCACAGCGGCGTTGCTGCAGCTCTGGATGAAGAAGAAGGAGGAGCCGAACATCGGCAAGGCGCTGAGGAGGCCTGCGGTGCAGAGAGGCGGTCACCCAGGATGGCTCAGTTCTGACAGTGAGCCCTCGACTGCAGGGTGGCCTGTGGCTGCATGCCCGCTTGGCCAAGTCCAGTATAGGAGCCCTCGGCCTGAGCCTCCTCCTGCCTATCGGGCCTCTCCTCCCTCCCTGCCAGCTCCTTGGCCCAGGGCCACCCTGAGCCTAGGTGACACAGGTATGAACATTTGAAAAAGGGATTCTCGGGACCAGCAGATGGCATAATGGTTTCATTGCTGGACTCCCGGGTAGTCGACCGCAGTTCAAGTCCCAGGCCCAGTGACTCAACCTCATACTGAGCACATGTGTGTGCGTGCCCAAAATCCTGAGAGGAGAATGGAAGAGTAGGGAATGCAATGTGGCCATCCTCTTGGGGGTGATTTCTCACTTTCCGTCTGTCTCTGTCTCTCTGGTGAGCACATGCACCCTATATCAAAAACCTCTCTCTAAAAATAAAGAAAAATGCCTTCTACAAAGAAAAGGTGCCTCCACCCCCATCTTCCTGAACCTCTCCCGGTCAAAGCCCCAGGTGATCAGCACCCTCGTCCCGCCCAGGCTGCTTACCCAGAAACTGGGCGCGGGCCTGGTGTGGGCTGAGTGCCTGCGTCTGCTGCCGGTGTTGGCCGACCAGGTGGAGCCAGGCCGAGCCGGCTGTCGTGCGGTAGAGCTGGGCCGGGATGTACTCCTGGACCTCCCGCCTGTGTGTGGAGGACAGACAGCCCTGAGATCCACCTCTGCGCCCTTCCGCACCGCCTGGCCACCTCACTGCGCAGCGGGCGTTCTGCAGAGTGGCTGTGCTGGGGTGTGGAAGCGGGTGGAGATGGGTGCAAAGCCCCCCACCCCAGCGGCTGCTCAGCGGGTGGCGCTAGGATGGCTCTATGCAGACCAGGGACTGAGGCTCTGTGGTCAGGGCAGGCCAAGGTCGCACAGCAAGTCGGGGGGTGGGGTGGGGGCTGAGACTTGAACCCAGGCCCTTCCTGGCTACAGTCCCCACAGACAAGCCCAAGCCAGGAGGTGAGGAGCACTTGTGTGGGAGAAATACCAGAGCAGGTGGAGGGCCAGGTGTCTGGTCGGGGCACAGGGCAGGGCAGCGCCAGCCTCTGGGCTGAGCCCGGGGCCATCTGTGCCCTGGGCCATCTGCGCCCTGCATCCCAGTCCTTCTCTCAGCCAGGCCGGCGCCCTCAGGGAGCCCTTTGCCTCTCTGGAAACTGGGAAAACATCAACAGCAGTCCCAGTCCCTCTTGGCCACCCTGGGCTGCAACTGGGACAGAATGGGGAGAGGGTTGGGTTAGGGACCCCTCACCCCAGAGACCTTCTAGGCCCCACATGCCCTTTGCACTGCTGCAGGAGGAGCCAGGTGTGTGTGCGTGTGCACAGAACCCCACGAGGAGGCTGGAGGAGGAAGGACTGCCGCCTGGCCATCCCCCCGGGGTGATTTCTCACTTTCCCTCTTTTTCTCTCTGGGGAACACACACACCCTGTAGCAAAAACTAAAGACATTAAAAAATAATAATAATAATAAAAAAAAAGCTTTATGTTTGAAGGGCTGGCAGGTGGCGTGCTGGTTAAGGCGCTGGCCCCCCACATGGTTGACCATGGTTTGAGTCCTGGACCTGGTGGCTTACTTTCTCTATCAAATTAATAATAATAATACGTGAATAAGATTGGATAAATAATTCTTCCAAAAAAAAGTGCTTTATGTTTGAGCCTTCACTCACTGTAGGCACTGGGGCACATGTGATGCAGACATCAGCTTTCAAATTAAAAAGTAAATAAATAAAGGAATGAATAAATAAAATTAAATAATTCTTTAAAAAAACCAAACAAACAAAACAAAAAACCCAAACCTTGAAATTGACAGTTTCTTTCAAAAAAATATGCGTTTTTCTACGAACTTTTTGAAGACCCTTTATTTAACCCACATGAGCAAACGCTCTTTGGGGTGCTATTTCCAAGAGAGTGAAAAGGTCCTGAGATCCAAGTCAGGGTGGACTTACACTGTGAGCAAGATGACACCTTTGAGAACCGCAGTTCAAAGGCCATGGAATGCCCAACCAGCCCTGCTGAGGGATACTGAGGTTCCATTGTCTCTGGTAGGGGACACTTCTGTGGCTAAAGCTTTGTCCTAGCCCTGCGTCTTTCTGAACCTCGGGTGTGTCCTGAAAGCTTTCTTATTAAATTCGCTCTGAGCTGTTAACACCAGAGGGAAACCACTGTGGTGGGAGGCAGGGCCCTAGCATCAGGGCCAGTTGGAGGACTTGGGCCCCAAGGCCAGGGCAGCCTCTCCCTAGACAGCCTCACTAGTGCGGGAGGGGACATGGAGCCTGGAGCAGGCTGGGGGTGAGGGCTGGCGGATGCTCACACGCTGGGCAGGGAGAAGTGGTCGCCGGCACGGTGCTGCAGTGCTGCCAGCTTGGACACCTGCTGCAGCTGCTGCTCACTGGGCCGGCCGGCCGGCACACTGCCAAAGAGGCCCTTCAGGTAGTCGGGCAGGACCTGCGGGGAACACGGGGCTGAGGACGGCCAGGCAGGCGCACACATGCGGGCTTCCCCTGTGCGGGTCTGGACTCATGAGCTCTTTAAACGTTTCTTTCTTTCATGGCAGACAGACAGACAGACACACGAGCACCCCCGGCAGGGCTCATGCTGCAGTCCCCCTGCTGGTGAGGGCCGTGGATGAGCACACTGGCACGTACAGCTGACTAGGGATGACCTGCGATTTTCCATGTGGTCCTGCTTCACACGAGCAGTGTGCCACTGTCCAGCCAGCCAGCTGACACACAGTTTTGCTTTTTTTTTTTTTAGAAGTATCTCTTAGGTGCACGCGCTCGCCAGGGAGACAGACAGTGAGAGGGAAAGTGAGAATCACCCCCCCACACACGCACACTGTAGGAATAGCCATGCTGCCATCCCTTCTCCTTCCAGGACTCTGGGCACACACACATGCACCTGGCAGGATTTTCAAGCTACTGGGTCCAAGACTCGAACTGCAGTCAGGCATGTGGGAATCTAGCAACACAGCTGCTATGCCATCGGCTGGTCCCGGGGACATGTACAGTTTTAATGACTCCAGCACCATCTCTTCTGGGAGGGGCTGGCTCATTGCGTCCCTGGGCTTTGAGGAAAAATAACGGGGCATGTGAGAGGGTGAGCTCTGAGGGCTGTGGCCTTGAAGCTCAAGAGGGGGTCCCCACAGTGAGCTGGGAGAGCCTGGGCTGGCAAAAGTGGGGCACCAACACAGTCTCTGTTGGGGACCTTTCTCGAAACTGAGCATGCTCAGTCACTGGAAGACTTGCTAAACCAGACAGCTGGGTAGGGGCAGCCAACGGTGTGGTGAAGGCAGCTGGATCCCACAAGGCCAACTGCAAGGTTTGAGTCCCAGACCAGGCAGAGCTTGAGAAACATGCCCAGCGAGTGTGCGTGCATGCCCAAAATCCTGAGAGGAAAATGGAGAGAAGGGATCAAGGTGTGGCCTTCTCCCTGGGGGAGGTGCTTTCCCACTCTCACTCTCCCTAAGTGCATGTGCCCTACATGGAAGAGAAAAAAGAGAGGGAGCCAGGCTGCATCCCCAAAGATTCAGGTCCAGAAGGTCTGGAGCTGGTCACAAGGGTCTGTTAAGGTTTTGCTAGCTCACAGGCCCCCACTTGTGTACAACGTAACAGACTGCACAGGGCTAGGCTTCAACAGCGACCCCATGTGGCCATAACAGGAAAGTGACCACAGGTTGTGCACAGAATGGCTGCTGCTTTGGTACCAGCGGCACAGGGACAGGTGCTTTCTGTCCAAGTGCATCCACAGATGCTGGCCCAGATCCTGCCAATGCCATCCATGATCCCGACTTAGAGGACTTCCAAATGTCAAAGGGGAACAACACACGGACAAAGGGACCCTAGCGGACCCTTGCTCGGGCCTCTGCGTGGGGAGGGAGAATCAGAGGCACAGGGGTGCTGTCGGGGGACAGCCTTCCTGGGAGGGCTTAGGCAGCAGATGTAGGAAGGCAGAGCACGAGCAAGGCCCCGATGAGGTCGCAAGGTGGCGCCGTTCTGACCGCTCCAAGGAGACCACGCAGGGGGCGGGGACAGGGCCGGAAGTGCCCACAGGGCCTGCACGAAGGCTTCCGGGGTGAGGCCGTACAGTTACCTCCCGGCCGCGTGCTGACCTGGTTGTAGTGCATGGTCACGTAGAGCTCGTTCTCAAACTTGAGCGGCTGATCCCAGAGCACGCGCCGGAACCAGAGCATGTAGCCGCCGCCCGCCTCCTCCATCTCCGAGGCCACGTCCAGGATGTAGGCGCGGCGGCTGAGCGGGCACACGTGCTGGCCTGCGGGCAGGGGCAGGGCTGCGTGGCGGCACGGGTGCAAGCCTAGGCAACCGTGCGGAGCACATGTGTGGGCCCATGCCGCCTAGGTGCGGCATCCCCTTGAGCTAGCCTGCTCAGTTCGGGGTCGCGGCCTCTTACTGCAGGACACCAGGTCGGCAGAACGAGTGCACATGTTCCCTGAAGGAGGGGCGACCACAGGTGGGGACTGCACAGGTCAGAGCACCAGCAATGCTCCATTTCTCCCCAGGGGTCCTGAAGAGCACCTGCCGGGGCCTGAGGAAGCCCACCCTGTCCAGGGCTGGGGACTCACAAAGAAGCACATTGGGCTTCGAACCATGAGACTCGGTGGGTGCCTTTCTGTAGCCCTCCTTAGGAGGGACCCCATGCTGGCAGTTGCAGGGGTGGGGACAGGGAGGACTGGGGTCTGAGCCTGTGAAGGAGGCTCCATTGCTCTCCTGCACGGCCACACCTGCCACCTGCCCCACTCCTACAGCAAGACATCACCAAAGGCACGGGTGGTAAGAGTCCAGCCTGCCAGGGTTCAAATCCCCTAAGTGACCTCAGATCAGTCGCTTAGTCCTGGTGGGAGGCAGAATAATGAGCCCTCCAAAGGTGTCCATGCCCTCATTCCTGGGTCCTATGACTGTCACCTTCATGGCAAAAGGGACTTAGCAGGTGGGATAGAGCTAAGGGAAGGGGAGGTGACCCTGGGTGCTCTGGGTGGGCCCTGGGTGAGCACAGGCCCTGTGTGCCGAGACAGGAGGGTGAGACTCAGAGGACTGAGAGGACACGTGTGGACGAAAGCAGAGGCTGGGAGAGAGACGTGAAGGTTCTCTCCTGCAGGCTTTGGTCATGGAGGCGCCGTGCACCAAAGAATGCAGGCAGCCTCCAGAGGCTGGAGAAGGCAAGAAAACGGACTCCCCCGAGAGCCTGCAGAAGGGGCGTGCCCTGACCACACGGTCAGCCCAGGATTTCCAACTTTCAGAACTCTAAGATGATAAACTTTTTGTTTTTTTCCTTTTAGTCTTTGGTATGCTTGCCAGAGAAAGACAGAGACAGAGAACGGGAGAGAAAGAGCTTCCAGGGGGATGGCCATGCTGCAATCCCTTCTCCGTTTTCCTCTCTGCCCTAGGCGTGCATCCCCAGGCACCTGGTGTGTTTTTCAAGCTGCTGGTCCAGGACAGTCAGTCCTGAGCCGTACAGCCATCCACGTGGGATCCAGCTGCCCGAAGCACCACGCCACCTGCTGGCTCACTTGTGCTGCTGTAAGCCACGGCAGTGGTCACTTGCTAAAGCAGCAGGAGGAAGCTCACATAGCCTCCCTGTCTCAGCTCCCCATCTGTACATGGGACGATGAGTCTCCACATCGTAGGGTTCTTGTGGGGACTCAGAGATGAAAGAATTCAACGCTGTGACCTGTGCCTGGTACATGGCCTTTGCCCAATAAAAGCCAGTTAGTGGCCACTGCTCAGTACCTGCTGGACAGGCGCAGGCAGGGTGCGGGGCCCGGGTGCAGGGCCGAGGCAGTGATGGGGAGGGCTGGCTGCAGGGAGAGGGAGCAGACTACAGTCCAGGATGGGTGGGCGGCAGGTGGAGGGGCTTTGGGCTGAGTGAAGGTCCCTCAAGGTCCCTGGAGTCCTCCAGGAAAGGACACAGTGAGACGTCAGGAGGAGCCTCCTAGGTCCACTAGGAGAGGCAGGACAAAATGCTTGCAGTTCTGAGTTTCGGGACGCTGGGCCATCAACGGAAGCCTGTCCTGGATGTGCAAGGGACTTCAGAGTTCACAGAAAAGGGGATGAAAGTCCAAGTCTATGTTGATGTAAAACTGTTTTGGGGAGAGATTTTTGCTATGGGGCGCATGTGCTCACCAGAGAAACAGAGAGAGAGAGAGAGAGAGAGATCACCCCCAGGGGGATAGACATGCCTCAGTTCCTTCTCCTCCATTCTCCTCTTGGGATTCTGGCCATGCGTGCACATGCGCCTGGCGTGAGTTTCAAGCTGCTGGGTCCAGGATTTGAAGCACAGTGGGCTACATAGGAGTCCAGCACCTTAACTACTATGCCACCTGCTGGCTCCAGTGCAAAACATTTTTTTTTTTTGGAGAAGTTTTCACTATAGGGTGCGTGCGCTCACCAGACAGACAGAGAGAGAGACAGAAAGCGAGAAATCACCCCCCCCAGGGGGGACGGCCACGCCGCAATCCCTTCTCCTCCATTCTACTCTCAGGATCTTGGGCACGTACGCACATGCTCCCGGCATGAGTTTTAAGCCACCGGGTCCAGGACACGAACTGCGGCCGACTACGTGGGAGTCCAGCGACACAGCCATTACGCTAACTGCTGGTTCCCAGTGCAAAACATTTTTGAAGGGGTCAGCAGAAGATGTGGTGAAGGTGGCTGGATCCCACAAGGCGAACTGCATGGTTCGAATCCTGGACCTGAGAGCTTGAAAAACACACGGGGCATGTGCACACGTGTGCCCGAACCCCGAAAGGAGAGTGAACGAAGATGGACTGCAGCATGGCCATCCCCACCTGGGGGTGATTTCTCTCTTCCCCTTTCTGTCTCTCAGTCTCTAGCAAGTATGCATGCCCTGTAGTAAAATAAATAAATATATAAATAAAATAAAATTCATGCATAGTGTTTTCATATCATGCATTTTCCATTTACAATATTTATTTTTATAATATGCATATTTTTAAAAAGTTTGCTTTATTCATAATAGTAGAGAGAGAAAGAGAGCGCGCACCACCCTTAGCAGGATCCCATCACGCCGCACTCCCCTCTCCCAGCCTCCGGCTCACTGGGACCTTGGGGATGTGTGCACACGCCCAGCGTGCTTTCAGGCCAACCTGGTTATCCAAACCTGCGGTCAGGCACTTGGTCTTCAACGCTGCGGTTCAACCTGCTTCCAACTCTGCTACCAGCCTGGGCTCTTCCACGAACTTTCTGAACACCCCCCACAAGCTCCCAGAGGGCAGGACCCCCTCCTTCAGAGCAGGCCCCAAGGGGCAAAGGGAAGCATCAGATAGGACCCTGTCCTCCAATCTGGTAGGAGACTGACTGACGCAGAAAACGCAGGGGGACAGATGAAGGGCTGGGCATGCTTAGGACACACAGAGGTCCTTCCACACTGGGGTAGGTCCTTCCTGGAGGAGGTGGCACCGGACCTGGGCCCTAAAGGTCAGGTGAAGGGTCCCGAGCAGCCCAAGGCTGGTGGTGGGAACAGACCCAGCATGCTCCATCCCCCCAGTCCTGGCCACGCACCTCGGTTGGTGACAACAAAGATGACGTACTCATCGAAGGCCTCGGGGCGAGTCAGGGCCATCTCAGCACAGATCTCCTCCACCACATCCAGGGCCACCTGGGACAGGACAGGAGGGTGGGCCTGCCAGCCGGGTTTGTCCTTGGTCCTCCCAGCCCCACAGGACCCGAGGCTGCGAGCAGAGTTCCTCGGCCCCTCTGCACAGGGCACAGGCTCCTCTGGGGTCTGAGACCCAGCTCCACGCAGGGAAAAGCGCAGGCGCCGAGACTGCGGCTCCAATTGTGCCTTTGTCCTGTGTTCGCAGAGTCACCCTCAGCTGCTCTTCCGAGAATGGAGCACTGCCTCGTGGGGC